CACACACACACATCCTCCCCTCCCGGACGCAAAAGCCGAGGGACAAGGGTGGGGGCTGCAGGAGGGACATGGTGTTTTGGGGGGACGGAGGGCGGGTGACACCAGGACAAGTGGCTCGTCACTGGGACAGGAGGTGGCACCAGTGCTGGCCAGCTTGGTGCCAGCCCCCCGAGGGACACTGGTGGCCCAAGGAGGGACACCAGCAGCCCCAGGGGCAGTGTAACGCGTCCCAGGCTCTATGACAGTCCCGGGAGGGACACTGGTGGCCCCAGGAGCAGTGTCACTAGTCCCAGGCTTGTGACAGCCCTGGGAGGGACACTGGTGGCCCTATGAGCAGTGCCACTAGTCCCAGGAGCAGTGTCACTAGTCCCAGGCTTGTGATAGCCCTGGGAGGGACACTGGTGGCCCTACAAGCAGTGTCACTAGTCCCAGGCTTGTGACAGCCCTGGGAGGGACACTGGTGGCCCTATGAGCAGTGCCACTAGTCCCAGGAGCAGTGTCACTAGTCCCAGGCTCTGTGACAGCCCCGGGAGGGACACTGGTGGCCCAAGGAGCAGTGCCACTAGTCCCAGGAGCAGTGTCACTAGTCCCAGGCTCTGTGACAGCCCCGGGAGGGACACTGGTGGCCCAGGAGCAGTGTCACCAGTCCCAGGCTTGTGATAGCCCCAGGAGGGACACTGGTGGCCCAGGAGCAGTGCCACTAGTCCCAGGTTTGTGACAGCCCCGGGAGGGACACTGGTGGCCCAGGAGCAGTGCCACCAGCCAGGGGCTTGGTGACAGAGTTGAGGGGGTCCCCAGAAGCAGGGGGGGGGCAGCTGGTGCTCTGGGATAGGGTGACCCCATCCCCGTTATTTGGCCTGGGGGTCCCCAACAGCAGGTTGCAGGGGGACCCCAATATTGGGGCTGGGGGGGTCCCCGATCCTGGCCTGGGGGATCCCCAATCCTGGGGGGTCTCCAGTACCAGGGCTGAGGGGTCCCAGTGTGGAGGGGTCTCCGATACCAGGGGATCCCCAACACCAAGGGTCCCCCAATATCAAGGCTTGGGGGGGTGCCTGGGCCTGGGGGTCCCCAATCCCGGGGCAGTGAGTCCCTAATTCTGGGGGGTCCCAGGCTTGGGGGTCCCCAATCCCAAAGCCAATGTATCCCGGGACCGTGGGTCCCCAATACCAAGGGGTCCCAAATACCAGAGTTGAGAGGTCCCGGGCCTGGGGGTCCCCAATCCCGGGGGGTCCCCAATACTGGCACTGAGGGGTCCCGGGTCTTGGGGTCCCCAATACCGGGGGGTGCCGGGGCTTGGGGGTGCCCAATACCGGGGGGTCCCCAGTACCGGGAGTTGCTGAATCCCGGAGCTGAGGGGTCCAGTCTTGGGTGTCC